GGTGCTTTCATTTTTAGCAAGAAAAATAACCAAATTTCATACATACTCGTATGTGTGGGAACTGCACATACATGAGAGAGAGAGAGAGAGAGAGAGAGAGAGAGAGAGAGAGAGAGAGAGAGAGAGAGAGAGAGAGAGAGAGACCATGCATATACTGAGGTTTCTGGAGAGTTCTACTGCTTTTTTAGAGTGCATGACCATACCCTCCCCAAGTTTATAGACATATCACACAATCAGCTGTAACTCAGTTATTGGGTAATTCAGTTCTTCCACCAAGCCTGCTCATCACTAAAAATAATGATCACTTGTTATATTACATTTAAATGAATTAAGTATAATTGTTTATGCAGTTCTTTTAATGAACTTGTCAGTTAATAGAACAGATATTATCATCATCCTCATTTTTAACCCCAATCTATCGGTTTGACTTTACTAGTTAAATAACTTTTTTACTTAACTTCTCTAGGCCTGATCTTTGCCATCTATAAAATGAATCAAAGAGTTGCTGTGAGGAATAAATGTGATAATGCATGTAAAGCTTTAGCAAGGTGCCAAGCACTCAACAAAAGTCAGCAATTATTAAGTTAGTACCAAACCTGTAAAATGGCTTGCCCGGTGTTACTTCTATTTGAAGCTTATACAGCACTTTCACATCCATTGTCTCAGTTCAGTTTTATAATCCCTAGGAGGCTAGCAGGACAGAGATTATCATCTGTATTTATGGATAAAAAATCTGAATCCCACAGAGGGTAAGTGACCTGCCCCAAGTTAAAGTGAGCAAGAGAAAGCTGGGTCATGGATCTAAGTGCTTCCATTTCCAGAGTATTTCCTATACTATGTGAACTCAGGTAACCTGATCCCTGGTGCAGCATTTGTGCCATCATTTTCCACAGGTACCCTGTCATGGTGCCTTCAGCATCCTCTGAGATCTGGCTTAAACCCAACATAGACCCCCATGACCACCAGAGAACTGCCAGCCATATCAATGCCAAGTTGGTACTCTGAGTCTGAACTGACCGCACACCCAGGTTAAGCAAGCCGCTTTTATATACGTGTAAATACTGGTGTTTACTCAAACCAAACAATGACCATATCACTTGGGAGAGATATCATAGGAAGACCATATCACAGGAAGAGATAAACCGCACTTTTTAAAAGCAGTTCCAAAATTGCATTCATTAATATCAAGAATATTTAACTAGAGAAATATAGATGTGAGGAAACTTTAATGTTTTGGGTCAAAACCTCTCTAGTAGTTGGTTTTATAACTTAAAAATGTTTTAAAATCTTAGACAATGAAGCAAGGGTTGTTTTGGTCTGGTTCCAAAAGATATATAAATGAATGTTGCCTAGTAAATACTATGATTTTTTTAAATTGTGAGATATTTACAAAATATGTTCTCATTTACTGAATCCCAGCTTTTTAAATAATATGAAAACTTACTGTTTCATGAAGTCACCAAATGTTAGCATAGGACAGTTTTTTTTTTAGATGATCTTCTACTTCAGTGGTTTCAGTCTGTGGTCCACAAAGCTCCAAGTTCTGTTTTCAATGGCCGCTAGGAAGGAGACAGGTGAGACAGAGCTCCATGAGATGAGTTTCCAGGCACCCATTCCTACTTCACATTAAAACTCCTGATTTCTTCCAATGCTTGGATTTCTCAGATGACCAAATCAGAAGTCCAGAAGTAATTCACTCAAGGTCACACAGCAAGAGAGTGGCAGGGAGAACTGACCTTCCATCTCCCAACTCCTCAAGGGGTCCTTTTCCTTGCCATGCCATGATCCTCTGTGCTCTGTCACTCATGGAAAAACAAATGCTTGTGTCTCTTC